TATAGAAAAAAAAATTCACTAGTGCCGAGAGCCCGTGTTAGGATTCGAATCCATAATTAGGTCTGGGGTGGTTCATTAGAATGAAATCCATCTCCGGTACATGCATGGTAATTCTTTTAAAGACCAATAGAGACAAGTTAATTTTCTATGTCGACCCGGCTTCGAATCGAACTCGAGACCTCTTAAGTTAGAGCCATCCTCTGGTATCTCGCTTTTTTCTCTTTTAATGGCTTCTCATAAGATTGACTCGTGAATCGCTAGACAACAGAGGTCGTCAGATGATTATGAAATGTAAAAAAAGTTTAATATAACAAGATAATAGATTAATAATGACCTCTAGTTTAGTCTGATTTCGTTATCACCAATTTAATTTATATTTGTAGGTATAGTCATAGGATAGTTTTGATACCATCTACTTTTGCATTTACTTCAATAACACGAGTGTTTCTACATTTGTTCAGCTTTTTAACTTAAATTCATTTATTGACTCTCGCCAGTCACCTTTTACTGTGACTAGCGAGCACATATGCCTGCATACACACGACCTATGAATGACTTTGAGTTGCTATGCTCTGTTCCCAATTTTACTCGTGGCCCTTTAACATTTTCTCCTGTTCTATTTTCTCTCTAGTCGGCATGTTAACATTCAACTTTTATTGTCCACATCATGTTTCTCACAGTCTATCCCACTTTTAAGCCTTATCCATATTTATTAGTTTGCTGCCTAAATCTTGTGATTAACATAACATTTTATGTCTTCTAGATGCAGCTGATTACTTAGAATCGATTATGTCTTTATTTAATACTTGACCGATAAGATTATCTTATCATTCAAGTATGCTGACTAATGATTGGTCGCTTTTTGACAGTTTCCTATCTGAATCTTCAATAAGAATAAGAGATACTTATAATATATAAATGTTGGGCAAAGGTTTCAAATTTATTATTTTAACAAACATATTAACTATCTTTAAAATGTCTAGATCAATATATATTTTATTTGTATAGATCTTCTTTTTGAATAGGTACATTTATTTATTGTTTATAGTAGATTGAAAAGTTTTAATGGAAATTGAAAAACAACATTTACAAAAAGTTATATTTTTACAATGTTAACATTTATAAGTACAATCATTTTCAAATATAATGACCTTTATTAAGAATATTATTTGATTGTTTCTTTTCCAAGTCAATATAAAACTATGTCGTTATTTCAAATTATATAAATACAGCAGTATACAGATTGCCATTACAACTAAAATGGATGTCACAAACCGTATCTCGAGTCTGGGCCAACTCTATGTATATAAATTGAATTGCGGGCAGGATATCCCTGTAATCGTTTTGTATTATGGAAGAAACGTTAAAACTGACCAATTTAATTGTAATACAAAGCAAAGAATACACAATGGCCGAGGATCAATTGTGTCAATCAGTTTTTATTTTAACAATGTAAAGTAATCAAATCACAATATGCATCCATCTGCATTAAGATTTTTTAAATATATTAGTATAAATGTTAAATTTTCTGCTGTTAATTATACTAGACAGATCCTGGTTCACCAACAAAGCGGAACTAACTCCATTTATGTATGTACGCTATTTGTATATATAATTCCAATGACCGTATCGCATCTGACCGTTGTATACTGCGAGGCTATCACACCAGTGATCTCATTCCGGGCGGTATCGACAGACCTGCGGCTTACACCAGAGGATATAAAGCGGTCACTTTTACTATGCAATAATTAAACATCATTACTCACTCATAATTAGCAATGGTATGCTAATTATGAACTTAAGTGACTGCTGTCTGTCAATTCCGCTGAATTTATCAATCTTATAAAATATCAAATGTATTTTTCCTAGAACTTGTTTCCAATGTGTAATTAAAGTGTACCTCAAGGGTTCTGCTTATGACATTTTTACCGACTGTATGTTCTTTCTTCTCTCCAGTTTATAGCTCATCAAAATTATATACATGTTATATACTGAAAAAAATATTTTTTTTAAATTTTTTAAGTTGAACATCTTATAATATTTTATTTCACTACAAAACGAAAATCGTAAAATAGTAGAATCGCTGATTGCTGGAAAAATTTAATTATTTATAATTATACCATTATCATTATTAAAGATCATAAAACTATCGAAACCTCTAGTGATAATGGTAATCTCGTAGTCTTTGCGGACGAAGGAGGGGGGGTTATCGAGTCGACCCCGCACAGCGATAACCCCTGGCTCCTGCGCCGACCGAGCACATGGTGACCGCACGGTTACTCTCATTATTAATCTAAACAATATTCTATATTATATACACAATAATTATAATTAACATATTGGAAATTAAGAAAGGGAATATAATATTTGTTATTTTATATTAACTTTCCGCCAGCGGCTTCGTCCGCGTGGTCCTGTATTATACATAAGTATGTACATTGTACAAGATCGATTAGCTTACCTTCCTCTTGAATCACTCTGTATATTATTATAACCCTAATTAAAATTTGTTCAAAAATTCACAGTGTACAGATAACGGGAAGCGACTTTCTTTTATACTATGTATAGATACTGCTCGTTTACCAGAAAAATTATATAATAATTTTTTTTTTTCGGAATTTTCAATTACGAAAAAAATTACAAAATTTTACCTTAGAAACTTTTGTCGGAATAAGTAAATATCAATGTTTTTGTTTTATTGCATTGTGACATGTAATAAGTATCTCATAAAAGCAACTAAACAATTTAGTAACGTCTATGTTTTAAAATACTAGAGATGCGCCGAATAATGGCTTCACCGAATAGTATTCGCTTTAACATTTACTGAACCGGAAATTCAGCCGAATTATGTGGTTTACCATTTAATTATTTTTATTTAGCCAAAGTGTTAAGTAGCCTCCTTGTAATTAGCGAACAGTTATTTCAGAAGCAGAAACCTATATGAATAAAAACCTAACAGACTTGCTGGAGAGAGTCGAGAAGTTGGTGTTTCTGTACCATAATTTACCATATATTAATTATAAAAATTAAAATATGTATATTTATTTTTACGTATGTTTTAAATTATTTCTGATTTCTTTTATATTTTTATGGTGACAATAGTTTATAAAATAAATATTTATGATATTTGATCAATCTACGTTTATATTTTAGAGTTTGAATATTTTAAAGTTTCGATTAAGATTATTATTATGTTTGATCAATTTTGCATTCACAATTTAAAGTATTTGTAAAAATATTTTATTCAGCTGTGGGTGGATTGCCTAAAAATTGATAAAAATACGCTCAGTTGTAAAGAAACGCAACAAGTGGTTGAAAAATTCGTCAGTCCTGTTGGGTCTTGGGTAGCTCAGTCGGCCAGATTGCGAAATGTCGGGTGTCATGTCGGAGAACCTGGGGCTGGTGGATTTTTTAAGCATTACTCATTAAAAATATTTATAATTTGAGGTTCAGTTGCTTTATTTTATGAGCTTTATTGAACACTTTCTTCATAGGATTTATTTAACTTATAATGTAACATTAATCTTCCATAAGAAGTTTTATCTTTTAGTTCTACACCGTGTCATGTAGCTAATAAAATAGAAAGAAATACTCGAACCAAATATATTCGGCACCAAAACCGAATAATTCGGCTATAGTGAAAAAGATGCCGAATACGCCAAATACCGAATTCCAAACAAATATTCGGCGCATCTCTAAAAACACTATCTATGACAGTTTAAATTAATCCTACAGAGTGTTTGTGCTTACATTTAATTTTGATATGTAACATGACATCATCCTACTGTAAAATTGATTCCGATTGTGTATACAAAAGTGTACACTTCAAATATATTCTCGTGTAGATAACCGAACTTTCGATATTCTTATCTTAATTCCGAATGCACCGGTTTTGACTGGATTGAACCGGAATTTCTACACTGTAATGTGATAAGTTAAATGTTTTGTAGTGCAATGATTTTCCCTTATAGATGACAAGTTGGCATAAAATACCACAGGCTCAGATACCAATAAACCTCTTAAGATCTTTTTATTTATGTACAAAATTATTTTGAAATAATTCATCTTCTTGGTTTCTATAATAGTTATACGTTTTTATTGTTCAGTTTAGATACTAACGTATCATCCAATATTTGTTGAATTATTCGCATCTAGAAAATACGCAATACGTTATCGTTCATATCTTATCAGTATTTTATTATATCACATAAAATAAAGTACCCCTTTGCCGCGTCTGTCTGTCTGTCTTTTTAAATGCGATAAAGTGAAAAATTATAATTTTAACCGACTTTCATGCCTTTTCATCAATATACGTAGTGATTCATGAGTAAAGATTTATGCACATTAATTATTCAGGTTATGTGTAAATTAACTTTTAAAACTATCGCGTTGCATTATTAAATACTTATAGTATCCGGTATGCGTAAATTGATTGGAGTATGAGTCGCAGATATACAACCAATATCTTGGGTTTCATATAATACAAGTGTTCGTGAAATCCTGGACTTCTTAAATGATTCTTTTATTAATTGTAAGATGATTTATTTCGATATTTGATTGGTCGATGGTCATACTGTCATACATAACAAGAAATAAAATCATATAATTGATGTTTTATCTTTCTTTCTTTTTTATCTTTAGTATTTATTATATTTATAAGAATTCTTTCAGTATCAAATTTATCAATATTATGTGTGTATTACCCACGCTATTTGTGATAATAATGAGGATCGATTAGCTTACTTTTTATTTACGAGACTGATATTACTGTATTATCAGGCATCGTATTTTGATAAACGCTTTGAGTTATAGAAACGGTTCTCCTAATATGATTCCGTAAATATTTCACTAGCACTAGAACAGCACCTAGATTTTATAATCGAAGATTCTTCGCTATGATCGTTTATACAGAGGTCGACAGGCACCTCGCCGAGCGAGGGAAGCTTGTAATATTCGTAGTGTATCGTAGTGTAGTGTAGCGTGCGTGTCGGTGTGCACAGATGCGCGGCGTGCCGGCCGGCGAGCGCATGTACACGCTGCGCACGCGGCCGCCGTCGCTGCTGCCGCCGTCGCCGCTCAGCCTGGCCTCGTCGGGCGACAAGTCGCTGGCCGCCGCCACGCACTCGCCGTCGCTGGAGCGGCTGGAGCGGCTGGAGCGGCTGGAGCGGCCCGCCAGCCAGCCGGCCGCGCACGCCGCCACGGCCAGCTTCGTGTGCTACGTGTGCGGCGTGCCCGCGCCCAGCTCGCAGCTGCGCCTCGTCTACTGCTGCCCCAACCCGGAGCGCGAGCCCTACTACCCCTTCATCACCTCGCTCAAGCCGCATCCGGACGCCAGCCCGATCAGTCCGCAAGGTACGCGCACGCACGATATGCTTGTTTTGCGCTTGGAACTATACTATCATGGTAGCCGATGCCGATCCACAGAGAATATGAGATACGCGGCTAACGTAATCGACCACGAAAGTTTAAAACGACGTATTGTTTGTTCTTTATTTGCAGGTTTTTATTGTAGCTCGTGGAAACGAAGCGTTTCAGTCGTTTTTTTGAAATTATTACTATCTGTTTGACGAGGACAAAAATACCCCCTCCCTGGTGATACCGTGCATAAGGTAAACCTGTGTATCTGCATTGGAGACATACAAAGGCTAATAGATAAATGATAAACCGCAAACTCGTGAGGGTGTGCTCTAGTTGTGGCTTACCGGCGTTCCAGCTGACTGATGATCGCCTGCTCTATGTGTAACATATGACAATTCAGCTGTCCGCCCGTGAACCGATTATATATCATACAAATATTTACATTTCCGTGCAACGTTTACAGATTACAATAGACCTTTACCTCGCGTGCATCCGAAGAGAGCGCAGTGGTTACCGTGATCGGTCGGCGACCACGGTGTTCGCAACTTTTTGAGAGGCTAGTAGATAGGATGGGTGACCAAAAATTGACTGTCTCGAGATCCTAAGGCAATTCGGAGGCAGTTTACATCGTCGATCCCGGCTCCATCTGAAGTCATTAACTTAATCGATCCGCACTGAGCCCGCGCGGTGGGTTGTGACCCGTTCTCCCTATCTGATCCCATCCATAGGGAAGGCCTGTTCCCCAGCGTTAGGAACATATAAAGATTATCACAGTTGCGTTTTGTATTTGTTTTCGAGTTATTGTTGTTCGTCATAGTTGAGCATCTGTTTGTTTGTTTGTTACGCAGGCATGGTGCAGATATGTGCGTCGTGTTATAAAAGTATACCTCACAAGTACCCCGCGTACGGGGAGAACGGGGAAACGAACACAACACACAACAACTCGCATACCAACAATATTAGGTGAGGTACCAATAAAACTCATTGACACTGCAACGTTATGAGTGAACATTTCATATTGATGAGAATAAATGTGCGGCTGCAAATTTTGTTTTTCCTCATGAAAACGATTCTCCTGGTACGAATTAACGTGGCACCTGAAGGGAAATTTCGTTTTTTACAAAAGCTTATGGAACAGAATTTTCCGAATTTTCGTTCGAGGACTTATAGAATAGGCCTTCAGGTTTCATGTTAATTTGTAAGAGTTATACATTAATTGTCACTTTTTGCAAAGCGAATAATTTATACGAGATGTGAGATTCAGAAATATTATCATAGGTATTATAAGATATGATATAGTTCAGGTTCCAATTTAAGTAGCTACAGTATTAGGATTATAGATATCGAAACAACTATAGCGCAATAACACGCGGACACGGCGTAACCACGGTGGACTAAAATTGTAGCTAAAGTTTGCTAGAATTATCGCAGATTATTACTGAAATAAGGTTATCTTCAAACACCTTTGGTATTTATATTATTTGTCTTTCTTTACTTCTGCTCCACTGTCAAGTTATGTTCACGCGCAAAGCAGACCTGATACAGAAAAGTTTATTTCTGCATTGACTAGAACGGAAATAGGATCCACTCTGCACATAGGTCAAGGAGCAGGAGAGAAGAAGAGATGTTAGATCCGTTTTTATAATGTTTTCTGTAGATGACGTAGACGCACCAACGAGCGAGTGATGCGAGTACTCGCCCGTCTAAGTGTTTTCATTATAACCCAACGACAGAAGTATATGCTCGCTTCTCGTCAACATATTTCTAGTTTGTAGCGCTATTCTCTGTTAATATATCGTCGATTAAACAACCGCCTGAGCTATTTATACTACTAGATAAACTGTGTAAAATAAAAATGACGGCACCATCATATTCATTGTAACATTCGCTGTACTAAACTTTAATGAAGTTATGCCATTTTATATAGTCATATTAGTAACAATAATGTTAATAGATGACAATTTCTCTTGCAGGTTTAAGCCATATGATATAAAATCTAGTAGTTCAAGTCAATCAAATAAAAGGCCCTCGAACGCCCTCTCGAGTAGTCCACAAAGTCAAATTGTGTCCGGCGAGAATGGGCTAGGACAATTTAGGTACGTATGTGAACATAACATGTATGTGTCGTAGTTTACAAAATAAAATAAGTGCGTTTATATATTGCTATAAATTGTTTTAATTTGGCTTCCTTCGTGTTGATCGATTGACTGATCTCTCTTTCTAGATCATCAGACTTGCTTTTGTATGAGACTCGCTTCACTCGTTCGATCTTCTACCTCGTGGACACTTTGTCTCCCTGCAGTTCTCACTTGAGTAGACGTTTGCCTCGTAATTTGTCGTTATAGATTGTCCGCTCTTGTTTTGTTAGATCTGCGAATTTACTTTGCTCTCGAGGCCATTCGTTTATTCAGCGGCAAATAAAGTGTCAGTGTCAAGCTCTTTGCTTTGACTTTAAAGCCATATCCAGCATATTCAATGCTGTTTTATTTCAAAAAACAAGTTTCAGCATCATTTTGTTTCGCAAGGATTTTTATTCTGTGAGCAAAGTTCAGTTTTGATGAGACAGCACACATTAGCGTTATCCGCATGTGTAGCCCGTTTGATTTGGTGTTCTCTCCCTTAATGACCTTTTGTGTAGACGTAATTTGCTTATATGTATTTCTTTACATTTTCTATGATGGTTTAATTGATGATTTATGATGTTTCTGTTCGTATTCGTCAACTTGACCCCAACTTGTTGTTTGTAATTATTTTGTTCTAGTTCTTGCTATGTAGACCATACTGTTTCCATTATGCTCGACCATAATATCAGATCTGGGCTATGATACTTATACTACAGATTTTGTAAATCAAAGAATCGACTATTATCTCTATCATTTCGAAAAATTAATCGTCATCGTTTAGTGCTACAGTAGACATGTGTGAAGGAAGGCATTCGTGTTAGCTAACCGCTATTGTGGGTGTAGAAGCGTGTGTTCTCGTTGTGAGGGAGGGATGATAAATATTATTTAGTATCGACTTATCGTATTGAAGTATTGATATAGAATCATAGTTTAAGTCAATGAATAATAAAGCTTCTTTGAAAAATGATATTGACAACGCGGCTCAATACTTACCCAGTTCAGTTGTCGCCTAGAGTATAATCACAGAATATACTCTGCGGTATTATGTTCTTTGGTCGGCGCAGTGTACGGTGCCGTATTTGAGTATTGTTTTAGGATGCGAGGCTAGAACTAGATAATATTTGTATTGTCGATGGAAGGCTAAAGTATAATTATGTTGGTATCGCGCGTGTGGGGCAGGTGCTACGTGTGCGCGGGGCTGTGTCCGCCGCACGCGATGGAGTGGCTGTCCACCACCGCCGAGTACATGAACTCGCACGCCATGCACTTCCCGTGCCTGGCGGGCGCGGGGGCGGGGGCGGGGGCGGGCGCGGGGGCGGGGGCGGGGCGCGGCGGGCGCGTGCTGGCGTGCAGCCGCTGCGTGCGGCACCTGGCGCGCCAGTGGGAGCTCATGGACGCCGAGCGGGTGCCGCTCGAGCACAGGAGGTACGTTGAACCACGAATGTGCGCGTCTCTGTACACGTTTGTGTATTCGAGCGCGTGTTCGGTGCGGCCTTTCCGAATAAAACAAGGTGTCCACTTTCTGGAAAAATTAGTGAAAGTCGGGGAAGTAAAAGATGGTCAGGGATAGTCAGTGAAACTAGGGGAAAAATTTTAGGTCGCCTATGAGGTCAAGGAAAAAATACAATATCTCTGTTAAATTTTTATAACAACAGTAGGATAGTGGCGGTAGTAAAAAATACATCACGAAATTGTACAAAAACTAAAATTTACATAGTCATAAACATAGAGATTCCGATTTTGAGTCTTTAAATCGTACGATTATCTTAAAATTAAAAGTCGTAATTTTATTATTTGTGTCACAAAAAAAATTATTCAAGTCATTTTTTTTCGCCAACAAGTTCCACCATTGTGTGACGTCACTGTGACGAAAAATGTCCGATTAGTCATAAACATATACCTATTATAGGATCTACTTATTAATACGGAGTTTTAACTATTGTTGGCATAATATATATTAATGATATATATTATATCTATAACCATATAACTGTACCAAACCTTGACAACTAAAACATTTATTTTCAACAGAATGTAAAAGCTTACGATTGTTTTAAATTTTTTAAAACCTTTTCAAAGTGGAATTTTATGCCCGTTGAACACTGGTATATTAAATATCAAAATCAAGCTTGAGAGATCTCTATAGATAAAATCAACATTCTGAACAATGACTCCACAAATATAAAACCCCGAAAACTTTTAACAAGAGTTTCAGAACAACTTCAAACCACTTGAGAAAAGTTTTGCTATGGACAACCTTTAGGTGCTGTTTACAGCATGGTGGTCAACGTTGTCCTTATGTTGTTCGGGACTTAAGTATTTCTATCCCGCCGTCCCAGAATAACACACACTACCAACTCATGAAAAATGGATACGAAATGAGGCTACCAAACTCAATGGACGCAAATCGCTATCGGCTTTCAAATAGACACATCTAAATCGTTGTCATGCAACCTTCACCGATTTAATACGGAACCAATAAAAGAAGCTATTGAGTTAATTAAAGGCTACAAATTGTTCTCGAAAATCTAAATAATTGTCTATTAAACAAATATGACAAATGGTGGCATCGTTTCGTCGATAGTTGTGATGTTGCAGGACTAGAGTGGACATTTATACTGGTGGACCTGAACACTTTTCGAAAGTAAGGATAAAGTGTCAAGTTTATAAGCTGTAGTGTCTACACAGAAGATGTACCGGCGTCAGTCTGTATGAGATTAGAATGGTTCTTTAACAACTAAAAAACAACAAGCGGCGGGTGACGACGGGAATACAGCAGAGCTTCTAACGGCGGGCGGTAAGCCAATACTTAAAATTCTCCAGACCTTATTTGATTATATTATCCTCGAGAGCAGAACACCGAAACCATGGAGCGGGAGTGCAGTTGTTCAGGTTTGAACATAAATATAAATGATTGTTAAATGATAGTTTTTCGTACTGAAATACACGTTAATTGTATAAACTTAAACTGATAATGATAAATGCTAATGAGTGCATCTGATTTTACACTGAAAATTATTAAAAATATGTGTTCCTGTGACGCGTTGTAATGCAGTCACAAACGGTGTTCGGTATCAACGCAATGCACGGAACAGCAGTTGTCCTGTTTTTCAAAAATGGTGATGAAGACACTCTTGAAGAACTATAACTCGATCTCACTCTTGAGACTCTATAAGTTGTTTTTAAGAGTCATTTTGAACTATCTCGCTCGTAGGCTCGACGATTTCCAACCTCCCGAATAAGCCGGTTTACGAAGAGGCTATAGTACTATTTAGTACGTATTCTTGCACTGCTGTTAGTTATACAGAAAACCGAGGAGAATAATTTGCCTACTTAACTACGAGAAAGCCTTTGATTCAATCAAGACATAGACGGAGCTGCAGTCTCTCCAAATTAAGTGGACTGCGGATACACATCGCCGGGTCAATGAACCGTAGTACACCGATGAGAGCGTAATTTTGCCACTGGCAAGAGAAACTCCTTGGTCTAAAAATTTCGTATTTTTGAACACGCATGTTCTACTCATGACTCATGTTCAAACGAAATATGGACTTATGTTAAAACGAAAGTATTTTTTTTTAATGTACTGCATTTTTAAGGTTCAAATAACTAGAGGGAAAAATGTGTTTGTCATGCCTTGTCGCCCCCTAAGTAAGAGTGCCTAGTTTGCTTATATGGAAGAGCCGGCCCTGCAGGTACATCGAAGTACTAATGTGTATATAACCAGAACTCAAATCCCATCTAATTGTAGCAAGCTGTGAGGCAGGGTGACGTCATTTCTATAAAACTTCACTGCTGCGTTGGAGGCTGATTTTCAAGCTCCAGCACTGGAAAGGACAAGGCATCAACATTAATGGCGAGTATCTCATCATCTTTGCTTTGCCGATAATCTAGTCTTAATGCCCGAGACCTTGGAGGACCTGAACACTATGCTAGAAGATCTCAGTAGTCGAACCAAAGAGTGGTTCTTAAGATAGATCAAAGGAAATGTCTAGTCAGTCTGTCAGTAATGCATTTGTGGGCAATTGCCAACGTTCGGCAAGCTATGAGAAATTTCGCATCCAAATTACCTCAGTATCTCAAGACAATTCTTCGACCTTCGTATGTGTTGCCAGAATGACTTGCAAACAAAACGTGGTCGTTCACTATGGGTCTCATAAAGAAGGTTTAAGGTCATAATACAGTTATTAATGTTTCTGTACGTGATCGTATTAGGAATGAAGAGATATGTAGGAAAACCAACGTCACTAAGACTTGCACTAAGAATGATTCAGATGAAGTAGCAGTGGACGGGACACATAGCTAGAAGAGTTGATGGCTGTTGGGACGGAAAGGTTTTGGAATGGCGACCGCGTTCCGGACTCAGTGGGGAGGCCCGCCGCCAGGTGGACCAATGGTCTAATAAAGGTTCCGGGAAGCCGCTGGATGCTGGCAGCTTAGGGCCGATCAGCGTGGAGATGTCTGGGGAAGGCTCATGCTCAGCAGTGCAGTAGGCGTCGGACGGTAGTTGATGATAGTGATGATGCCCATCAAAAATACGAGTGTAATAAATTTTAATACAATAAATAGACTTGCCGTTCCAAGCGCTAGATTTCAAAAATTAGATTATTATTATTATTATATTATTTCTGAAAATTTTCCCATTGGTGTTGTTCCAATCTACTGCTAAAAGAAGCAAAGGGTACTGAAAATGAAATGTGATTTGATGTCCAAATCGAAACAGAAAGTGGAAGTTAGAAAATCAAGTGTGACTGTGCGTGCGCGCGTGCGTGCGTACGTGCGTATTTGTGTGTAGTACTCAGGTAGTTCATGAAAAATCAACGTTCAGTTGCATGAACGTCCATAATAGGTTTAATGACGCTTTTACGCTTAAATTAATGTTAAATTTATATTGGTAATGTCGCTTTAAACTGATGATAAATTTTGATAAATGGTCAGGGAAAGTCAGGGATTTTTTAAACATTTAGAGTGGACACCCTGTAAACGTTTCGCTGCCTGATCGAAATTCGTGTCTACTCAGTCTGCCCTGGTATTATGAAAGGAGAGGTTCGGTCGCATCGAATAGCCGCCTTATTCTGAAGTGTGCCGCACTGATTTTTAAAATTCTTTCACTTCCGGAAATCTAAATCGCCAAATCTAAGTCGCCGATATAGTCGTAAGGAAACGGCTAGTGTTCATAAATAAAGGACTTGCAGTCTGTTGCAACGATTGTTATGCTAGTAAATATCACTCTCTCGCTTATCGAAACGGCGGATACTGTAAAACTTTATCAGAGCTAGTGTTTTTGTGGCTTTTCTGTGTTGAATTTAGTGATTGAGAGTTGTACCCTGTGGTGTGTTCAGATACAACATTCCGTCGCCGCTGCCGTCCAACTCCAGCGCGAACGGCGAGCGCGTCATCCCCACCCCGCCCTCCACCACCTCCGAGCGGACCGTCGCCAGCAACAGCGGTAACACGATCGCGATATTCTATTTGTCCCGCAACGAAAATTAAGGCTCCCGATGCCGCGTTTCTTTGGAATAGTATTTCAAAAGTAGATGAGAAATAGAATAGTCCTTTAAAAGAGCAGGTGGTTTATCTGAGTTTTTTTTACGATTCTGGCCTGATTAAATGATATTGAATTTGAAACTAAAGTTGTGTAACGATAAAATAATTTTAGTTACTTAATAATATTGCCTCCATTCCAGTAATCCCTGTTCTAATAAATGCCACTCTTTGATTCATCAAAAGTTTAAAACAGCTGTTACGAAACATGATTTGCACTCGTGAATGTCTTTCAAACATCAAAATGATAGGTATTGTGATATATTTTAATATTATAAAAATACCCCTGGCTCTCGAGGTGGCTCTTTAACATCGATAGCATTGTAAATGTGAATATCCCAATAGTATTTATATAGATAGATGTTATTTGAACACGTGCCCGTTGTTCTGCCGCAGCGTGTACGTCGATCTACTGTTTCCTGTGCGGTCTACATTCGGACTTCACGTTGGCGCGAGTGCTGTACGGCCAGCCGCAGGGCAACGCGCCATACTTCCCCTGTCTACTCACACACCAGGTAAACAGATTGTATTCCAAAATTATTTTGTTACTTTATTGACTCGTGACTTTCATGACATATATATGAAGCGGGTTGTTACTGACGAATACTTATTGAATTAAATTATTAATCCATTATTATACCATTGACGTAGATGGCGATACCCTAGCGTCAAAACTATACATAGCATTGAAATTATCAGAAAATTTTAATTTGATTTAAAATTTTACCTGATAAATTGAAAGTATCGTCAGCTTGTTATGTTACCAAAACTATTATAATGTAATCTAACCTAAGCCTACGATATTTTATAATATGACGAAACATAATAATAATGGACGCTTGCAAAATACAATTTGAGCCAGAAACATTTTGCTAAGTGTCCATATTCTTATTTTTCTTATATTTGATAAATTATGCCAATGATAGGTACTTTTGTCTATTGTTCGATTTCGTCTTGTTAGTTATAACGCTGATATGATCATATTAAAATGTTCCTATGATTGTGATCACGCACAGAGTCATCCAAACGCAGAGCAGTTGAGAGAGAACGGTTCAGCGCTAGTGTGCACTTTCTGTTACCACTCGCTGCTCAGCCAATGGAGGCGGTGAGTCCAATATACATTTATAATTTATTATAAAAGAATGTTTGTTGTGTTTTATACTTCACATTGATATATCCTTAAGCAGAGCTTCAGGTAACACAAGGTTACACACCGGAGTCACGTTCAGCCAAAACTTTTATTAGGTTTCCTATTTATTGGGTGTCGGTATTTTTATCTTTACCTTTAAGTTGGTCATCAATTTAGCGAGCTCTTCTCCATCTGAGTCGAGCGACTTTGAACTGAGAAGAATTGAGATTCAACTCGGCAGGGGCGTTTTTCTCTGTTTTATTTCATTTAGAGATGACAACAGCAAAATGTATTAGTTTATATTTCTATAGAGGAAAAGTAGTATATAAGTTATTACTAATATATAAGTTAATACGCAGTGACGTATTTGCCTTTGGACCCTTTGTTTTGTTTGTGATATCGCACGCACGGATACGTGTCGTTGTGCTTTGTGATATCGCGCGCACGGATTGAGTGCGGGCGTGTATATAGAATGGATGCGTTTGTGCAGATACGAGTCGATGGGCGGGTACCCGCCGGAGCGGCGCGCGTACAACACGCACGACTACCACTGCCATCTGTGCGGCATCAAGACGTACAGGAAGCGGGTGCGCGCGCTGCCCATCAAGGTAACGCGTGCGCCTCATAGTGGAATGAGGGATACGCCCACTCATTTGCCTAAAGTGCAGGAAAAATCATCTTAATGCAGTTAGATAAACTATTCGATAAAATAAAAAAATAAATATTCCGATTAAACTAAATTTCAAAAAAGTGACTACATAATTTAGTATTCATATGAGTATCGAAATTTAATTCGATCTGTTGTCTGTAAATATATTTGCAGTTTTATGACTTTTAAACTGAATGAAGTGTTAAGCGATGTGTTTTGTTTCAGGAGTTTCCATTTTTAGTGCAAAGGCGGACTGAAAATTCATTATTATTAGAAAATGGCGATTACGCCGTAGTATGTTTAGATTGTTACGAAAGTTTAAGGTGAGTCGATCGTTTTCAATAATATTTTGTTTCTGTAATGTATACATTCCTGCATCGGTAAATATTGATGTGCAGGACGCAGGCGACGGACTACGAGCGGCGCGGCGTGCCCGTGGACAAGCGCGAGTACAACTGGCTGCAGCAGCCGCCGCCGCCGGAGGACTCCGCCGACGTCACCATCGCGCGCCTGCCCTCCGGGGACCGCTCCGACAAGCTGGTGACTGTACTGCCGCTGTGGCCGATACATACGTCCGCACATATATATATAGGCTCATATACAACTGGCTGCAGCAGCCGCCGCCGCCGACGTTCGGACGTGTTACGATGCCCCAGTGCATATTTTATTTTTGGAACATATATTTTTTTTTTAATTATGTTCCAAAACTAATGTATAAAATTTTAATTAATCGCGTAATTTAAGTATTCAGTACGTAAAGTCAAACTCATAAATAACTAATACAGAAGACTGACCCTTGTGACTTGTTTAAATCGTTTAAATCATTTTGCACTTTGAATGTTTCCCGCGCTTTTCCTAGTTAATTGTACTGTCAATTTACCCACGAATTACGTCATGCCCCCTGATTGGTAAAATACAAATATTTATTATTTAGCAAAAATATTCTGTAAATAATCTTAAAACTATATGAACTTTATCACACTTATTTTAATTTTTTATGTAATTACTGTTCGGTTCCTTATTATCAACGTATAATTTAATAAGAAAAATAAAATTGACAACGCGACTCAATACTTACCCAGTTCCAGAGCTCAGTTGTCGCCTAGAGTATTATCACAGTATATGCTTGCATTACGTTCATTGGTCATCGCAGTGTACGGTGCTGAATTTGAGTATTGTTTTAGGATGCGAGGCGTTATCTAGTTGTATTATTGATCGGAAAAAAAGAGCGAAATTTATGTTGGTACAAACATGATCTTCGGCTCTAATCCGGTAAAACTTTTACGATTCTATGATCGACTATGATGACAGGAGTATACTTATTATCGTTAGAATACTTCAAACTAATAGAATAATATAAAGGAAGTGTAACGATCGTTTTATTGTTTAGATACCGCAGTCGCTGGTGTTGCCGCGGAGTTCGTCAAAGAGGAATAGTCCCAAACAAGCTGCGCTCACTGAACGACGGATGCCCAACAAGATAGACAAACCAGACACAGGTATGTACTCATATACAATATATAATATGTACATCAGTTAATATTTTAAGCGCAGCAAGTTGAATTTTATTTAGATGAATATATATAATATTGTTCTATAAAAAGGTTCATAAAATTTCATGTCTGCGTCGTACATTATTCCTTGGTTTCCGTCGATCCGATATTGTTCAAATCATTTATTTATAGTTCATTAAAATGACATATGTTATCATTAAATTATAAATATTAAAAAAAGTCTACCTGACTTCTTCAAAAGTTCCATCCATCTACTAAATAGATTTTACTATTTACCTTGAAATAAAAAATATATATTAATTAAACATAGTACAGGTCTATTTTCGCCCGTAATCATATCAAAACGACGTCGACGAAGCGTCATTTCACTAACGTTGTGCAGTAGAGATGAGTAACCACCTGTGGATAGCTATTTCCTACCACATTACTGCGTCATAGATTATATGTCTTTGTATTTGTTTTCTGCCTAGCGTACGTGACTCTGTGGGAGGGCGTTGAACTTTTCGAATTTCGGCGTATTTACGACATTTCATGAATAAAAAATATTAACGAGAACATGTATGAGGATTTTCATACATCTTAAAATTTTATTTATGGTGTCCATTTTCTGTTGTAATAATCGAGGTTATTACGTTGTTTTTAATCGACACCTTTCTTATACATATCAATTCACACAATGTATCCATTTTTACCTTGTTCGTTCGATTTCCGTTTATAAAGCGTACAAAAAAATATTTTTACATTTGTAAAATCTACTATTAGTTAATTAATATTATGACAGCTAGACGAATAAGTCTAGTCAACCTTATGGTGATGTGGAGACACATGTGTTCGTGTTCATACTGATGTGGTATGTAATATTTGTCGTGATATTAATGGTCGACACGCAGATCAGACGTGCTAATCTAAAATTTAGTTTAATACCTTTATTCTATTATAATGGATACGGTTCTGCGCTTCACTTCCTCTATCTCCCCCCATCGCCCGCTATAATACTGCGGCGCTTAAAAGCTCCCACCCCGTTATCAGTTGCATGTCGTATTCACTCCACCCCGGCCATTCCATTTACACACCGAATATGAACTGCTAAATCTCGTCGACACAATGTAATAATTTTATTGTATCAATCTCTCATGCTTCAATGAATTCGTCATCAGAATGAGTAATTATCTGTCAAATACTATAAACAGTTTAAAAATTTTATTATTATTTTCACCTTTATGCTGGAAATGTCTTACGCCTCTTTCAATAGAATTTATGTGATTTTCAACTCTGTGACTAAAATTTCATAAATATTTTCGGAAACAATCATCTTTACGCCCATTAGTTGTGTTTATTATTTCTTTTTTGGGTAAAATTTATTGAAGTCGCCTTAAACGTCCTTGTCTCGCGTCTCAAACTATCTATGTATGCATAGTGTAAAATAAAGTAGCTTCCCGCTGTCTTTACGCTGAGATCTTTTACGGATAACGCATTTTAATGCGGTTTTTTCAATACACTCTATATTGAAGAAAACCGCATTAAAAACCGAATTAAATTCAAGATGAAGGTATAATACCACGCGGGCGAAGCCGCTGGCGGAAAGCTATTATATTAAGCTTAACAAAAAGACACATAAAAGCAGCGGTTGTCAAGCTTTTTGGCAATGGAACTCTTTTGGAAACCAAACATTTGTATGAAGCCCTCAAACAAAACAGAATCTAGTTTTCTAGGTTACATATTTTACTTCAATCGTTTAACATTGTTTTTGATGTTTAGAGCTTCGAGTCCCTTATAGTCCCTTACACTGCACGATCCCTTAAAATTGTAATGAAATATCATAATGTGGTGTATCTGTAACAAAGTAGAAATCGCAACAGTTTACAATGATATAGCAGATTTAATAAAAGCTTACGCGGACTACGTATGATAGTATTTCAGGTTTCAATTAATAGCGGCACGAGTGGCTCGCGTAGCAGAAAACTTATGGAAACGTGTAGGTGTTTCAATCAGCCATCCCCTCCCCCAATCGTCCTCTTCCTCCTCCCCTCCCATCCACCCACGCAAACAAGCGGAACGCGAGTTCTGAATTTTACATAAAAATAAATCCGGTCCAATAACGTTTGCACAGATACACAATATGGCGCTGTTTCCTCTTTCCACTCGTACACATCGCCAATTTTAGGCTCTATATCAGCAACAATTAAAGTTCATATTTCGGTTTACATCTCCACGAATGACGTTTCGATGTTGAGAGCAAGTAATATTATGACAGCATCACAATATATTGGTATTTCGCATAGATTGTGTTTAGTCAAGGGTCGGTATCGTTCAAAAGCGAATAGCGATAATTGTCTTCACTTTGATAAACAGAAGTGAAAGCACTGAATCAATTACTAAGTTACGGTTATATGCAGAGTAATAAAATTATACCTTCGTGGCAATTCTTCGTACCTTAGGTTGCTTTAGTGCGGTGATCATTAATATGAGTATAAACAGTCACCAGTCTCTCACGATTGACATAACTTCTGAGTATTCTTTATGAAAAATGCATAAAAAATGCACCCATTTCAGAGTACCAAGGACAGGTGCTCTGAGATGTGATTTTAACCCACGATTTTTCGCGACTGGGGGCGACTGCTCTAACAACTGGCTACCCAGAGCCTAACATCAATGTTTAGGCAATCCACCCAACCAGTCATAAGAAATATTTTTACAAATATTTTAAATTTTCGATGAAGATGAAAATTTGTTATAATTATTACATTTGATGATTTTGCATACATACTGCAAATATTCTTTATAACATTGTAAATGCAAAATTGATCAAATATAAAAATAATTTCTGTGTGTATGTTATTTATCGATGTCATTTGTGGCGAGAAATAAGTACTTTTATTATTAGTACTCTTTCATTTTTATAATACAATCAAAGTAATGTCTGCGGCTTTAGTTAGTACAAAATTAATTGAACATTTTCAAACTTGCACAATACTCGACCGTGATTTTCCCCTTTGTACTAAACAAAGTGCCCGCGCAAACTGCCCTCCGAGCGGATGACGTCACGTAGCTACATCGGAATTGATTCGCGTCAGTTTATTGTGTTTGCGATTGTCGTGTCACGCAACAAAACGGGGGCTAAACGGGGCGCCGGAGGATGGATAGCCAGGCGACAGGGGCAGCGTCGGCACCCTGATTGTGCTCTATAATATTCGAGGACAGTGAGATTATCCGTTTGTACTAAGCAATGGGGTTGTTATGTTAATTGAAGAAATTTGATCATTTGGTACTACTGCTGGCGCCCAACGTGGTGCCCATATGATTGAAAGGTATAATATATAATGTCGTATGTTACATTGATAAACTCAAACTTTTTGGAAATAATGTTATTACACCGATATTAGTTTAGAGTTAGACCAAAGTAACATTGGCGTACATTATGCATACGAGTGTAAATTTTCTGTTAATTTTTAATAATTTTATTAATCTGCATCTATGTACAAACCGACCGGAAAGTATGTATGTAGTTGAAATTTTACTCGCTCACTGAATTAAAAAAAATATCTCGATCATAACTTTTTATGAAGAAAATATTAAAAATACAGGTTGTAACCCCGACAGTTATTTCCTAATCACAATGTCGCGTTGAGAGCATCCGTGTGAATAGGAGAGGGGCAATCCCGGTATGCCTGGCGACAAGTGGGAGTCAAAGCCGGGATTATTGGAAAGCCATTTGCGGCAGTACACTGAGCCGAGTATCACAGGGAGGGTGCGTTGAGCGGTTTTATACGGCTCAAAAAGTTACTACCTTTGTAATGCGATCTATTTTTATACGATAATCATCAGAGGACGCAATGCTTTTGTATCGACGGTCTTTTTTTTCTTTAGATAGTCAGACGAACTATCCTTACAAATATCCTAAAGAGAAAACAAGATATCTATATTCAATGATCCTATCTTTTAAATCAAGATATTCCCGTTACTCCTGTGTCAAGCACCAGCACCAGCACTTAGATTTGTTCAAATAAAAAAAATAAAAATCTAAAAACAAATTAGCAAAATTGGAAAATACGAAATCTGCTAATGGTTGCACGAGCACACTCCCGTCGTGGCAGCCAAATTCGACGAGGCGAGCACAAAGCGTGCTTGATTGGACGCCTCGTGTTTTTGTGACGCGACCAATTTTGAAACGGTTAATTGCAATATTTTCAAAAGAATTTTTGCAACCCTTCCCTATCTACAAAAGCTATGTGCTCTTTTTGTGTACGCGTGATGGCGGTACGATACTAATTTACGTATATGTGATTGTGTTGCACGTAAATTCTTGTAATATGCCATTATATAACTACGCGTTATCGACGCCGTACAGACACCTGCAATGTTGTAACGTTTCACTATAGCATTGTTCACTCCTGTACTTTCTGCAGTCCCGTCTCTACTGCAAACTATTCCAATTGAAGCGGTGTGTTAAGCCGTTCTAAATTAAATAGCTAACTGCATGCAAACTTGGTGCGGTGTTCGATACAATAGAATACTTATCTTTAATATCGAGTTACATAATTTCAAAATATCCCAAAAAAATATAGCGTTAGGTAATCGTGAGTGTCGCAATCCAACGTTAACCTTTAAATAATAAAACATATTAATTTCGTACCCACGAAGCTAGGTGCGTCACCCTTTTTGCGTAGATATTATACGATTCTGCCTAAATTAATAGTTTGGAAGTAGCTGATCAATTGTTCAATTTAAATATGTATTCATTAGGTGCTTTCCCTTGAATCCTTTTACCACTGTTTTAACGAGAAAAAAGACAAAAATATAAGTGATAATTAAATATATAGACAATATAACAAATAAAAATTATCTAATAGTCTTTATAGTTTGAGGCAAAATTATATTTACTATTTATACTGAATATTTACCACAAGTTTAAAACAAATTAAAACATTATGATTAGTAAAATAATATACATAGAGACAGAAGATAGCGTTTTGAGCGTCAAAACG